CTCTCTCTCTCTCTCTCTCTCTCTCTCTCTCTCTCTCTCTCTCTCTCTCAGCATGCGAGCAGGCAGGGCGGCAGCCTAACGGCAACAGCAACAACTGTTGCCATTTCAGATAAATGGCAGCATTTATCTGAAACGGCAACAGATTTGCCGTGGCTCGCGCCTGGACCCACCGCCCCCCCACGCCCAGTAACATGGCCGAAACGACCCCGCGGGGCCACGGGCCTTTTTTTTTTCTTTTTTTCTTTTTGGTTCCGTTTTTTTTTTTTTTTCCGCGCGGCGCGAAATTTCAAACACGAAAAAAAATAAAATGCGCGTGTAGGGCTTTTCCAGCCCTACACGCCCATAATTGTTTTTTTTTTTTTTTGACGAGAAAAAGCGCAAAAAAAAATGTTGCACCGAACTCGGCTGGTCGGCCGATTTGGCCGACGGCCGCGGCCGCGGCCGGGCGTGCAACATAGCTCCCCACCACCTCGTAATCCCTTTTTACTGTCTAACAGCGGTCCCTTGGTGCGCGATCGGCCTCTACTGGCCACGGACCCCGTGCTCGGAGTGCCAGCAAGATCGTATTGACCACACAGCGGGATTCGTCCGCCGGACCCGAACTGAGGCGGACCGGCGATCGCACAGTCTCCGACTGAGACCAGCCTCGTTAGATTCCGAAGTCTGCTACGAGCGACGTTGACGGCTAACTAGCCAACGCGACACCCATAGCGTCCCAAAGGTCCATCAGATCCGAGACCGACCACGACGCCGATACTCGCACCAACGGTAGCCTTGTGTCCCGAAAACCAAGCTACCGATGCAACTACCATCTTGCTCAATTACCCTTGAACTTGCCACAGGAGATCTCAGTTCCGACCTGGGACTCCACTACAATTTCCCAAAGTCCTTGGCACACCCCTTTTTCGCACTTCCGGGGGCCCATCCCACTCCGATCAGGAAGTCGCGCTGGGCGTGAGGTTGGGTGTCACAAAGGCGCGAAGGCGCCTTTCACCCAGGCTGAAGACGTTTGGGACGGTAGTACCAAACGGCCGAGTTTCGGGCACCCAAACCGAAAAGGTTTTGGCGTGGGTGCTTTCTACCAATTATCCCGTGCTTTTCTGGCCAGAAACTGGCAGAAAGGAATTTCGAGAGCATTCTTTACGTTCTGAATTTGAGCATTGAAGCGAGTTTCGAAGAGGACGGAATAGTGGAATTTCTTTCTCTTTTCTTTTCTGTTTTTTTTTCTTTTTTTTTCTTTCTCTTTCCCTTCTCAAGACATCCGTTGTTGGATGTTTTAGTGGTCCCATTTCTCCAGCTACGGTATACTATGGGCCTAATTGAGCTGAAAGAGAACGAAATCTTTCTTTGTTTGAAGAGAGCATTTGAAGAGGAAGAGGTTTTACTGTACAAAGCGCTTTGCCACAAATTTTGTTTGTCTTCATGTGTGATTCTGCATGAACCATCAGTTCTGCCAGCACTGGTTTGACAAACCGAAAAATGCACTTTTGAGGCCCTCCAGTACTTCTCCCCGAAGTTCTACCAGCCCTGGGCTGAACAGGCCCAATACTCATAGACGAATGGGTTAATTTCAAAAATATTGCTGTTTCGAAGTTTGGCAGCAAAAATGTCGTCCGTTCCAAGTTTCCTTGCAAAAATAGAGGTTTTGTTCCAGATTTATCAGGTTGAACTTCCGGTAGTTTGCCAGCAAAAATACCGCGTTTTGCCAAGTTTCACAGCGAAGGACCCCTAGGCCCCTGGCCTCAGGGACTCAGGGACTCAGCGTTCTGGCCTCAGGCACTCAGCCTTTTTTTTTTTTTTTTTTTTTTTTTTTTTCCGGGCGTGGCCGAGGCATCTCGAGGCATCTCGGCCATGGCCACGCCGAGATGCCTCGGCCACGTTTCTTTTTTCTTTTTTTTTCTTTTTTTTCAGGGCCGTGGCCGAGGCATCTCGGCCATGGGCACGCCCAGTTGCATCGGCCATGCCCCCCCCACCCCCCCACCAAAAAAAACAAAAAAAACGCTGAGTGCCTCAGGCCAGAACGCTGTGTCCTCGAGTCCCTGAGGTCAGAGGTCTGGGGGTCCTTTGCTGTGAAACTGGTTAAAACGCGGTATTTTTGCTGGCAAACTATGGGAACGCGATAAAGCTGCAACTAAACCTCTATTTTTGCGAAGGAAACTTCGAACGGACGACATTTTTGCTGCCAAACTTCGAAACAGCAATATTTTTGCTATTACCCCCAGACGAAATTGGATGAACAGTACATCTATGTGAACTGGTCTTTTTCATTGACCGGATGGCGTTTCGGGCCTTTCTTTATTGTCATTATTATCATATTACTGGGAACCCCATACCAGCTAAAGCCTTGCTCAAGCCTCTAACGAGGGAACATGCGGGAGGTGCACCCACCAGCAGGCGCTATACCTGCTACAGCAGGTGGCCTATACCGGCCAGGGGTCAGCAAGTAGCCTCAGGAAGTGGGCCAGTCACTGTGCCTCCCCTCTGGTACCCTCCCCTTATGAACATCGGCAGTCTCTGCTCAATCTAGCTCGGGGGACCAATGGCAACCAGCAGCCAGAACCGTGTTCATGAGAGAACATGCGGGGGCTGCTCCCGACCTGGAACCCCGTAGCAGCTAGAATAGTGTTCATGAGAGAACATGCGGGGCCTGCTCGGGTACGGCTAGGGGACCGCCAGTAGCATTAGGGACCATGCCAACAGGACCAATCCTCAGGGCGTCAGGTCCCCTCCCCGACGAACATCAGCAGACTCTGCTCAATGCCAATCCGGGGATCCAGTGGTCTATCTCTAGGCCAATTAGGGATTGAACCCACGACCTCCTGAATGCCACTTGCGTGCCTTACCAACTGAGTTAGGCCACTCGATGTCTGGTACCTTCTGGCAGTGCGTGAAGTTTCCAAAAAAAAGGAAAAAAAAGAAAATAAGTTGGTCAGCTCTTTGTTTTTTTTTAGCTTTTTATAAGCACTTTGTTTTGTTGAGTGGTGTGGCTGCGAACGAGTTTCCTGAGTTTTCGGGCCCTCTTGAGGGCATACTCACACTACGACCTTTTCAGGTATTTTTGGACGGAATTGCGGGTATGGCCGTGTATGCGGTCAGATACATTTGAGATACTGCTACCGTGAGTATTCCCTGAGATTGGTAAGAAATCACGAGCTATTGGGTCTCTCTCCACTACTCTGGAAATCGGCCATTTCTTGAGCGCGGCACCGCTCCACTTACTCTAGACGCCAGGTCTGGAATTCGGGTTCTTGAGCTGTCAGTATCTACTCACAAAAACGGCCAGAATCCGTCGTCGCTCCACTACCTCATGAAACACACATTCTTGAGTTGTCAAAACCTCCTCTCCCGTGGCACTCTTGACGTTTTTAGAGCTCCCGCCTGCAGAGGCGGGAATTTCAAGGGAGGCATCCAGGACCTTCGAAAGTTGAGCATTTTTWTGGAGTGCACCTGGAGT